AGTCACCACACCTTGCTGCTCGGGAGCACGTCAGGTAGGGACAAAAGGATCTTCTCCAGTAAGAGAAGCCTGGGTGCCAACCTCCTCCCAGGCCCGCTGGCTGGAGCCCTTGGGAACCCACCTGGTGGGGGAAACGGGTGCACACCCTCGTGCGCCCTGCACCCTCTGGTTGGGGGCCCTGAGTCATCTCACAGCTGTGCAGCACCTCAGGGCCCGGATGAATCAGAGCTGGGGGTGGGGGAAGTACAGAGCAGGCACAGTCCACGGCCGCCTGTAACCGCCACGGCCGCCGGCAGCAGACAGCAGCAGAGCGCTGACAGCCCCACCGGGCGCGCCGGCGCAGGGTGTTCAGCGGGCACAGGCCTGCACCGTAATGAGGACAGCCTCCCCACTCTGAGGCCTCATGGGAAACGGCCCGGGCACACTGGCCAGGAAGGCCACATGCGGTGGGCCCTGGCCCGGTGCACTTGAGGGTCGAGGAAAGAGAACGGGAGCCAGCCAGCCAGTGCCCCAGGGCGCCCCCCACCAGATCACTGCTCAGGTGTGCCTGCCCTTGGAGGGCAGCCCAGGCAGCGCCCGTCCCGGGGGCCATGCAAGCCTGGGTGGGAACCACCGAGTGACAAGGCCAGCCCTGCCCGCCACCCATTCAGTCCTGTGTGGGGCTCCCCTGAGCAGGACCCAGACCTGCAAACTCGGGGGAGTGCCAGGAGGGCCTCAGGCTCCCTGCCAGCCTGCCTTCCTGCCCAGAGGGGACGGGGCCCTCTGTTCAATGGCCTGTCCTCCCCTGAAAGGCCCCAAAACCTGGGCAGCCCAGCCAGCACCACCTGTGCCAGAGAGGGAGGGAGGTGGACGGACCTGCTGGCTCTCAAGGAGCTCTGGCCTAAAACAAGGTGGCAACAAGCATGCAGCTTCCGCAGCACCTCCCACGGCCCTCCCCACGGATGCCCCAAGAGTCCTGGACCAGTACCCAGAGCCTCAAGCGCACATGGTCTGTCCCATGAACCGACCAGCCTCCCCAACAAAAGACACGTTCTCCAGGAGAGACCAATAGGGATGGCAGCGCAGGCAAAACACTCCTGGCCCAGTGAGGAACTCTGCAAAGCCACCACACCCCAGGCACCAAGCCACCTTATGACGGTCAGCAAACTTCGGCAAGGTCCAGCAGCAACCTCAAGGATGCGACCTGGGCACAAGCAGCTGCTGAAGCCAGTTGCCCAGAGATCAGTGCAACAAAAAAAACTGCCCCGGCTACTCCAGAAGGAATGGAAGGCACAGTACTGCTGCTGCGCTGGTGGTGGAAAGAGTAGGTACCACATAGCACGCTCCATGGAAGGACAGCTCTGAGTCCGCTCAGGGACATCAAGCCCCTCTTTTTATGAGAAGATTCTACCCCAATGTGGCACCCGAGGCACCTTTAAAGCAAAACAAAGCACCACATGCACGCACATGTGTGCACTCATGCACACACGTGCTCACTTGGACACAGACTTGTGAATATACCAACAGGCACTTGCATGCATGTGCTCGAGCTCACACACATCTGCACATACACACATGTGCACACATGTTCCTGGTCACACAAGCACACACTCACATGCACACACACAGCCCCCAGGTCTGCTCCCCAGCAGGCGTTTCTGTTGCCAAGGAAGCGCCTGTCAGAGCAGCCACTTCACCATCCCCAACGGGGAGCTGGCGGAGCTCTGTCCACTCTAGGCGCCAGGCTTCTGATGGCGGCCAGCAGTTTGGTGTGACTGCTGAGCAGTGGAAGGGGGTCTAGGGTCAGCAGTAGAAGACCTGGGCCCTTGTGCTTCCCTCTGCTCCCACCTGGAGGAGGGTGGCGGGCAAGGCCTGGCCAGCAGTGGGCTCTCACCTACGAGGTGAGGTCCCTCCTGCCAGCGCTGTCACCCACCACCTTGCACCAGTGGTGGCAAACCTGACCGACTCTGGCTGCAGGAACCTGCTGGCCACAGCAGCCTTCGCAGGGCGGGTACGCAAGGCCAGGCCAGCTTCCCCACACAGCTGCAGAGTGAGGACCACTGGACGGCCTCTGGTGACCAAGGCCCAAGGCCCACGACACCCTGAAGAGCCATGCCTGAAGCTTTCCCAGAGACTTCCTTCTCCTCAGGCTGTCCCCCACCTTCCCACATCCTCAGGACAGGACGGAGACCCGTGGTAATGTTCCTACAAAAGGTGCCAGAGCCACCCCCCTCCAATGTCATCGGGGTGCCTGGAGCCAGGGCTTCTCTTGAGATACAGGACCGAGAGAAAAACGCGAACCTGACAGTCACTCTCCTAAAGCCGGGGTCTAGAGTCAGCTGTTAAAGAAGGCCCTCTCTCTCCAGCACAAGGGGATGCTTGGCGGCCTCTCCCAAGACAGCTGCAATTTGGGCTTAATCCTGAGCAGCAGACTCCCCACCCCCACCCCGCAACTCTGTCCCTCACCCTAGGCAATTACCCAGGGCTGCCTGAGAGCCAGGTCCTGGGCTCCAGGCTCTGCTGCCTGCACCCCCATCCCCTGAGGGGCCCAGCCCAGGGCCTACCCCAGGAAGCCCCCAGAGGGCTTCTGTCCCTGTCCCTGCACCCGTGGTCTGAGGGTGAACTCTCAGTGGATGTCTGGAAACCATTCCATTTCTCCCCCCTTCATCTTCCATGAAATTCCCCGAGGACACAGCTCCCACGGGAGCCGGGCCACAGGGAGAGAGATTAAATCCGGCGCTAGGGCTTCTTCCAGGGAAGAGAATCAAAACTGTACATTTTAGTCTCGCATTTTTAATCAGCAAGGCCAAGGACAAGCGTCCCCAGCGTTCCCTTCTCTGACAAGACAAACACCACTCAGAACTGCAGCTGATAAGACACAGGGGCCAAAACAAACAGCTGAGCTGCAGCTTGGGGTGACACCAAGCAGGGCCACATCTCAGCCACTCTCCCACAAGTTGCCAACCCAGGCACAGAGGCAGCAGCGTCCCTGGACAGAGCAGAGGACCAGCCGGACCGGCCTGGGTCCACACACAGTGGCTTTGGCTGTATCCTGACTGCGCCTCAGGTGGCCTGGTCTCTGCCCAGCCAGTGTGCTGAAGCTGCCCAACCTGTCCTGGCTCTGCTGCAGAACCCGAGCTCTCAGTGACAAACCACAAACAGTAAGAGCGCCGGACCAAAAACCCACCAGTCAGGTCGCAGAGTGGCAGGGGAGCACCACCCACAAACTGACCTGCCCACAGGCTCTGCAGCCGTCACCAGCCAGGAGTGTGTGAGGTGCCCAGTCTGTGGACACCCACTTTCCGATGTGTCCAACGTGAAAGTCTTTGGTCTCAAGCCACACCTTCCCGTGGGAGCTCAGTCATCAGCTGACCCGCCGAGCACAGACCGCAAACTAGCCTACTGAACGTGTGCCCCAACCTCCAAAAGCTCGGATCCTAACCGTTTTCTGCCACCATCCTGCCGACAGATTTCACTTCAGACCTACAGACAAATCATAGCTCCATCCAGAAGCTGCTCAGCTGGAACAACACGCCTGACTGCTCGGTGATAAGTGTCTTATTAAGGCTGATCATGGGATTCTCCAGAGCAAAGCCACGCCACACACTCCCTCCTCGTTCTCGCCATTAAAGTTCCTGTTTAGTGGTTTCAGTGCAGAAGCAGGGAAAACGGGAAAACCCTCCAGCCAGCATTTCTCTTCCACCCCCCACAATGAGCAAGTCGAAATAGAACTAATGACTAATAATTTAATAAACCTCCCTCCCCTGAGAGCATTTACAGAGCAACACTACCAAAAACCTATGCCACCGACTCTACATGAGACAAACATAAAACCCCCAAGAGCTGTTCCTTTTATGTGCTGCTGCTTCGTCAGTCTGTTTACCAGCACCTCTAAGACGGCTTCAGAACTGACTTAGTCTACCCTGACCCAGCTTCAGGATTCTTCCAGGTGACCTAGCTACAACTTTAAAAATCTTTATTAGCAGCCATGATTGACTCCAGCCGCGCCGGACTCCAGCTGAAAGCTAACGGCCCCCCAGAGGCCTCTCCCCGCCCTCCCCCACCGCGCGCAAAGAGGGCTTGGCAGGCCTCTGGCTAAAGAGGCACAGCGTAGTTGTTTAACACAATTAGAAACTGTTGCTCTGCCAGCGCGCTGCAAACCCACTCCGCCGCCATGAACCAGCCGCCGCCGCGTAAATACCAACTCCGAATCCCCCACCCCGCCCCGCCCCCGACCACCGCTTAACCCCGAGGCACAGTTTTGAAACAGAGCACGGTTTTGTAAGAGGACTGCGTGGACCGCCCAAGGAACGAATCTCCCGTGAGGAAATGCTGCCAGGAACAGCCCTGAGCCACCGGAGCCTGAGTCTGTGCTGGTGGGGGCGGGGGTCCAAACCGAAAAAATGGATGCTAAGAAACTGAAACTCGGGTGTCTGCCCACGTGCACACAGGCGCAAAACATGCCGGGGCGGGGGCGACGAGGGTCCGGCGGGCACACCCGCGTTCCGCACCGGGGGCTGCGAGCCGACTCCTCACACATCAGAAGCAGAGGCGGGCGCGCCAGCCTCCTACACAATTAGTCTTCTCCCTCCGCGGTTACATAAGATGACGGATTATCTGTCCACCCATCAAAGCTGCCCGCGCGCGACCTCCCACCCGGCCACGTCCACAGACGCCCGAGAAGGAGTTGTGAAAAGGAAAAGCCTGTTGAGAAAAAAGTGCCCGAGGCTTGCGTAACCGCGCCCGGCGGGACCACCACAGAGCGCAGAGCGACGAGCAGCCACGGCCCCGGACCCCGGCAGATCCCGGACACCGCAGCCCGCGCCCGTGCCCGCACCTCACTCGGGTCCGAGGGCTCCGGCCCCCGGGAGCACGGGGGCAGCAGGGGGCTGTCTGGACGAGGGCGCCCGCGCCAACTTATGCCGGGCCGGTGCTGGGTCCCCGCGGCCGCGCCGGGACGACCCCCGAGAGCCCAGGGACCGCCCGGGCGGGCGCGAGCGCGTGGGTGGCGCAGAGCTCACCTTGTAGACATTTTCCGTGAGCCGATGCATCTCCTCCGACCGAGAGAGCGACATGGTGCTGGTACGGCTGCACCACTGACCGGAGCGAGAGCGCAAGCAGCTGCGACTGCGGACGCGGCAACGACTACGAAGGCGAAGCGCACAGAGCCAAACCAAAAGCGCGGCGTCCAGCCGGCGTCCGCCTTTATAGCCGATCAGGCCCCGCCCCCTGCGGCCCCGCCCACCTCGTGCCCGCCCCCGCTGCACCCGGATCTCCGCCCCCGGCCTGGCGCCCCCGCCCAGTCGCTGCTGCTAGGCAACCGACAGGCCCCGACCCCGCACCGCCTTTCCCATTGGCGGGTTCCGGAGCCCGGGGAAGGGGGCGGGTAGGGGGCGGGGCTTGTGGGCCTGCGTCAGGCAGCGATTGGCCCTTGGCGCCGTCGATCGCGGGGGAGGAGGCGGAGGCGCGGCGCAGGCTGGGGCCCTGGGAACAGCCTTGGGGGGCCCGGGCGACAGCCGGGCTGGGGGCGGGGAGGCGGGGGCGGGGGGGCGGAGG